GCAGATTGAGCCAGCTTGGGGGATGGGGTGCAGTGAGCCGGGAGCTGGGGGGGGTTCGATCTGGTACAAGGGAGCAGAAATTGAGCTGGTATGACATGGCATAGGAGAGGAGCAGGCTGAGATGGGCTGGACAGAAAATTGCAAGGGGGAGGGGGATCTTGACGAATCTCAAACTTGGGGGGGGGCATGGAATGTATCCTGTGGGGGAGGGGTGTGCCACCCAGATCTGAAGGCAGTGCTGCTGCTAGCAGCAGCCGAGACCGACGGGTGGCGTGGTATGGCATTGCCACGCTTACTGCTGCGTAATGTTTGGCCTTTGCACTGGGAGGGGAGGCTATGGCAAATTCTGGGGTGTCTATAGCCCACATAACGCTCCCCACAGTGCAACCCATGGAGGGAAGGGAGGCTGGAGGGGGACTGACCTGGCACTGGGAGTAAGGGGGGTGAGGCTGAGGGGCTATAGACTTGGTGTGGGGGAGAAGGGGGGGATTAAGCCAGGCCCCGGCACATGGGGGGAAGGTGAACCCTGTGGGGAGGGGATCGACAGTCTCCCACGGACTCAGCACAGGGGCTGTCTGACAAGGCCCAGTCCAACCCCAGCAGAGTCATCGCTGCAATGGGCCTTGGCTAAGCTCAGTTCCCTGAGATGAAAGCACCAGGGCTCAGTGGGCAGCGAACCCCCTGCCCGGAGACCTACCCGCTGACTGGAAAGGAGGGACCAGGGGGCTCTGTGCTTGGAGCCCCCCTCCCCTCAGAGGGGACGGCTCTGGGGTCAAGGACACCCAGGATACTGAAGGGTTACAGGCTGGTTTCCCCATAGGGTGACCAGATTGTAACTAAAATATCGGGACCGCCGCAGGGGTTTTAACTGTTACACTCACCCGTCTGGGTCTTCGGCGGCAATTTGGCAGAGGGGCCTTCAGTCGCTGATGTTCTTTGGCGGCATTTCGGCAGAGGGTAATTAGTCTTGCCTCCAAAGACAGAAGTACCCACTGCCGAAATGCCGCCGAAGACTGTCAGCGAATGAGGGACCTGGACGGGTGAGTATAACAACAACAACAACAAAAAACCACGCCTGAAAAACTATCGGGACAAATGGCATCCCAACCGTGCTTCGGTCGGGATGCGGGACAAATTCCTCAAAATCGGGACAGTCCTGATTTTATTGGGACGTCTGGTCACCCTGGTTGCCCCTGTCCCCTGGCAAAGCCCTAGGGCTGACTCAGCCCTGCCCCGGAGCAGGATGGGAAATCCTTGGCAGCATGTGTCCACGGCCTAAGGCTGTGAGTGGGGCTGTGGTGATGCCCTCACTCTGCCAGCACTGTTCGCCTGGGGAACTCGTGGCCACCAGATCTAGGGCGCAATGGAAGCCTCTGGCCTGGCACCCCGGGGCCCTTCCCTTCTCCCAGCTCCACTCCCCCCTCCATCTAGCACAGGCTGGTTGTGTACATTGCCCTATTTTCTCACACACCCCATACCTGGGGGGCACCTACCGGTACTGGGACATGGCAGGCGGGTCTGGGTGCAACAGCAGCCGGTACGGATACGTCTCCATCTCAAGCCCCCTGGCCCTGGCGATGTCCCTGATGGTCTCGTATACCCCGTCCTGCAGCCCTGCAGGGACAGCCGTGCGCTGTCAGCAGGGGCCCCTGAAAGGTGCCCATGGACGTAGGGGGCCCAGCCCGGTGGGGGAGAGCAGCAGGGAGGGGCCAAGGGCCACTGTGAGCCGGCATGACCCAACTGGGGTTCCCAAGCTTGGCTCATTCAGGATCCCGAGTCTGGATGGAGAAGGGGCCCAGGTCCATAGGGATTAGGGGCCAAGGTGAGCTACCTGGGGCTATTGGCCTGTGGCAGGGAGCAGTCCTGCCCGCCATGTGGCTGGTGCTGGATGGAGCAGGGCTGGAGGAGCTCACCGTGTATCTGGAAGGCCTGGCCCCAGTCCACGGCGCGGCTGTTCTCTAGCAGGGCCCGGCAGGCGCCCTCGTCCCGGTAGAAGGTCGTGTACAAGTTGGTGAAATAATCGCTGGGGTCCCGCGCCACCTGCAGGGGGGACACTGCCTGGGGGAGAGCGCAGCCTCTGTCCCCTCCCCCCATGACCCTCAGTGACAGCATAGGGGGAGCAGGGCACAGCGAGCCCCAAGTAAGAGACTGAGGAGGGGGGAAGGGGCCCCGTGAACGGAGCCAGTGGGCTTAGGGCAGAATGGGACAGGGCGTCTGGGCAGCAGGAGGGGGAGTCAGGCTGTGGGGATGTGGTGCAGACAGGAGGGGGAGGGGTAGAGATGACACCAAGCAGGGAAAGGGGCAAGGAAGTCGGGGAGGGGAGCGGGGCAATGATGGCATAAGATGGGGGAGGGGAGCGAGGGAGCGATGGCGAAAGGAGCGGGGCAGATGGGAGAGGCACAGCAAATGCCACACTTCTCTGCGTGGCCGGGTCAGGACCATTTTGAACTCTGGCCATGAATCCACCAGCACCTCCTGGCCAGCCGGGTTCCCGCGGTTCACATGCATCACAGCGCCGTAGACCTGCCGAGACACAGGGGTCAGAGTCCGGGGATGTCCCGGATCCCCAGGATCGGTGCTGGGCCCCAGCTTTTACTCTGCCCCTTGGAGGAGCCCTCAAAGTGCCACCCCCCAGGGGCCCCACTCTTCCTGCAGGGCAGGCCACCGCCTCTGAGATG